AAGAATTTACAAATTTCATGTTGATATTACATGGTATGAATTTGTATACATATTCAATAATCGAATATTTATTAATCTGATTTTATAATATAGTTACAATATATGCAGTCACATGTCTTTTATTTTTTCCTTTTGGTATTTTTATTGGACATTTTGGTCGTAAAATCTTATCTAATATCTGGTTTAATATACATTGGGTTAATCAAGTATATATAAAAAATATTATTAATATTTAAAATTATCATTAAATATAAATTACTAATTCTTTTAATTATTAATATTAATAATCACATTCAAATTTAGTAAGTTGTATTTCATATTAAGAAAAACTGACTTATTTAAAATAGTTTATTAACTTTTTCATTTTGTGATATAATAAAATATATTTTTTTCTATAGAAGATATTTTTATTTGTGTTACCTGTCATTATTGGATTCTCTATCAATCATTATTCAGTAAAAGAATTATGTTTTATATGGATCAATACTCCATATATAGTATGTTTTTATTTAATGTTAATTTTGAAAAAAAAAAAAATTTATTTATTTAAACACATTAATTTCTAGACTATGGAACATATATTAGTTCCAATTATTATTTTAGAAGTTATTATTGGTATCGTTTATAATCGTATATACCATGTAAATAAAATACGATTAATCCATGATTATTTAGCATATTTTATAACTATTTGTCTTCCAATAGAAATTTTGCTTGGTATTATAGAATTTAAAGCCAAAAAATTTTGATATTATATTTTCTTTGGTTGGCTTGTAATTTTATTTGCAATATTTATTTTAACAAAAATTAAAACACGTGAAAAAAATAGTATTGAAAAAAAAAGTGAAAATTTAATAAATTAATAATTTTAAATAATCTGTTATTTTATCATATAAAAATTTAATTATTAATATATTTATTATTTAAACAAAATATTTTTTTATTGATAAATAAAAATGGGTTTTAAAACATTAGAAAAAATTAATCAAGAGCTTATTAATAATTCAAAAAAATATCATGGAGTATCTAAATCAGATATTAGATATCAAGAATGTTTGACTATATTACATGTTCTTGGAAAATACTCTGGTTGTATTCCAGAGCATAGTGGTCAAATAATTCTACAAATGTTTAAATTTTCCAATGATTCAATTCGATATCATCTTCTTTTAAATTATGTGTTGAAAATAATCAAGTCTGATGAATTTTGTTTAAATGAAATAGATGAAAATAATGATGATGCATTTGAAAGACGAGTAGATAAATTACAAGATATTATTGAATTTATTAATCATATTCAAAAATCTTTCAAGTTATTGTCAATTAATGACATGCCAAAATCTGTTAAAGTAAATCAATCATTGATAAATGATCCTTGGATTAAGATTTATAATATGTGTCAAACGGACGAAGAAAGAAATAGACTTATTCAAGAATCATACTTAGAATTAAGAATTGCATTAAGTCTTGCAAAATTACGTAAAAATTTTCTCTACAAGATCACTAGCGAAGATAATGAAAGAACCCATCAAATATCTTACCTTGAAAAAAGGTTTAAAGATAATCTTGGACTTGTATACTTTCAAAATATCAATTATGATGATTCAAAAGTTCTAAATCGTTATAAAAATATTAGTTCAGATTTTATTTTAGATAAAATTATAATAGATGGTTATCTTCAATATGGGATATTTAAAGAAGAAAAATATGGTAGTTGTGATGTATTAATTCAACATGTGATTAAAGATTTAAATGATTCATATAATATTATTACAGATAAATATTTTGAAAAAAATAAGATAGATATACATTCTCTAGAAAGTATAAAAACTTTATTGTATTCGTTAAGTTATATTAAAGATGACACAGAATAATAAAACTATTAATTTTTTATGATATATTATTAAAAGTAATGTATATAAATATATTTATACTATGATATTAATATCATACGAAATAGATATAACAGGATCGATTTATACTAGAATTTATTAATTATATTTATTTATTTAATATTATATTTATAAATTAGATCTGAGTTCATATCGGTCAAAAATTTATTTTCACAATTTATACACAACACAATTTGTGACATTTTAAAAAAAATTTCAAGAAAAAAGCTGATATATATTTTAGAAAAAAAATTTGAAACGTCACAAATTTTGCTACGCATAAAAATTCCAAATTTATCTAAAAATATAAAATATCTACAACTTTTTATAAATTCGTAATATATAAATATACATTTATCTCAATATTTTATTAAGAATTTCATAATAATATCCGTCAGTATCTATTATTTAAAAAAAAAAAAAAATACTTCAAATTTATTTTATATTAATTAAAAAAAAAAAAAAATAACAATACCTTCTTCTATCGTATTTTTTGAACGAATTAAATTTCTTTCTTTCATTTGATATACCATTAGAAATATTTTCAATATAAACTTTTTTATTATTAACTAATCGAATTCTATAATTTGAATTTTCAAATTCTATAAACATATCTAAGAAATATATAAATATAATTAATATCTACCCAACTTATAGATTCAAATACTAAAACCAACCTTTTTTGATATATAAAACAACTACGATATTCAATAAAAACATTTTTATTATTTTTTTTATTTATATTATTACTTTAAAACAATTCTTAATATTATCACATAACATAAATAAAAAAATTTTTATACTAACCTGTCATTTATAGAAATATTGTGCATAAAAATTTATTTTGTAATACCAATCATCTTATGTATAAATAATTAGAATAAAACAGATGATTAGTGCAACGTGATTATAATGAAAGATCTGTCGAATATGATAATTCAATGTATTAGTACCCGTTAAAGTGCATTTGAACCTTACTTTATTTCAACTCTTCTTTTTTGATTTTACTCTTCAAATTCAACTTTTTATTTTCTAATTGTTTTCTTTCTTTATTCCACTTCAACTCTTTTATCTTAACCTTATTCTTCCATTTATCTCTCTCAACTACCAACTTCATCTTTTCATCTTGAACATCTCGATACTTCGACCTTATATAGTCTACCCATTTATGACTAAAAAATGTCCTACTTACCTTCTAATCAAACTGCTTTATCTTTTTAATCTGCTTATATAATTCGTTATACTTCTTCCTTCACTTTCCATCCTTCTTACTAATAAACAAATCTCCATCTTCTTCCTTCTTCTTTTTCAACAAATTTTTGATCACTTCTCTATATTTTATTTCTTCTTCCTGATACATTCTTCTCTATTCATCTTGACTATTCTCTGCAATCTTCACCTTATGCTTCAACTTATAATTTTTCTTCTTCAAATGCTTAATTCATTCATCTCTCTTATAACAATAATCTTATTAATATTATAAAAAGATTATTTTCTATAAAATTATTAAATACTACTACATCTTATCTCTATTCTTCTCATCCCTATTATAATATTTTTATTATTTCTTATTATTATTATTATTATTTTCTATCTTATTATTATTTTTTTTATATTTTTATCTTCTTTTTCTTGCTTCTTCTCTGAACATTCTCTTTTTAAAGTTTTTTGTTT